GGAAGGAAGGAAGGAAGGAAGGAAGGAAGGAAGGAAGGAAGGAAGGAAGGAAAAGAAAGAGAGAGAGCAGGACACTGTGGGACTCCAGAAGAGGAGCAGCACTCATCCCTGACAGAGGGGCCCAGGAAGGCTTCATTAGCAAGTCAGGAAACAGTTATTGAGCACCTACTCTGTACCAGGCTTGTATTAGGCACAGTTGGTTTTGTTACATGCCATTGAGTCAACGGCAACTCATAATAAACAGCAGATCTGAACATTGCTCTATCCTGTGTCATCCTTATCATTTCTTATATACTTGATGCTATTGACAAAGACTGTTGTCTCTCTCTAGGGTTTTCCTCTGTTTTGATGACCCTCTACTTTTCCAAGCATGATGTCTTTTTCTAAGGATTGACCCCCCTAACAATATGCCCAAAGTACACGACATAAGTTTCATCATTCTTGCCTTTAAGTAGCACACTGGTTGCACTTTCTAAAAGACGTATTTGCTTGTTCTTTCAGCAGTCCATGAGATAGTCAATACTATTCTCCAGCACCAAAAGGCATCAGTTCTTCTGTCATCATTAGTCACTGTCCAACTTTCACATACATAGCAAGTAATTGAGAAGACCATGGCTGGCATCAAACACATCCTAATCTTTAAACTAATATTATCGTTCTTTAGTACCTTGGAGAGTGCTAAAGAGCAGATCTTCCCAAGATAGTATGTCTTTTTTTCTTTTTCTTTTTTCTGATAGCATGTCTTTTGATTTCTTGACCAAGGGTTTTGACTGTGGATCCAAGTAAGATGAAATCATTGACAACTTCAGTCTTTTCTCCACCTATCATGACGTTGCCTATTGGTCCAATGGTGAAGGTTTTTGTTTTTATTACTGTTGAAATGTAACCCAGATTGAAAGTTATAGTCTTTGATCTTCTGCAACAAGTATTTCTAGTCCCCTTAATTTTCAGCAAGTAAGGTTGTGTCATCTGCATAACGCAGGTTGTTGATGAGTCTTCCTCCAATCCTGATGCCACAGTCCTCTTCATATAGTCCAGCTTCTCTAATGATTTGCTCAGCACATTGGTTGATTATATATGGAGAACGAGTACAGCTTTGACACACACTTTTCTGGATTGTAAACCATGCAGTGTTCTCTTACTCTGTTTGGACAGCAGTCTTTAGTCAAGTAGATTTCATACGAGCACGATTAAGGGTTCTAAGATTCCCATTCTTCTCAATGTTGGCTGTAGTTTGTTATGATTCACATGGTCAGTTACCTTTGTTAGGCACTTGTAGTTATGTGTTGCCAAGTCAGAACTGTCTCATAGCTGAACTTTCAGAGGGTTTTCCCATAAATCACATGAGAGGAGTTTGTCCTTCTTTCTCCAGTGGAGCAGCTGATGGATTTGAACTACTTGCCTTTGTGTTGATAGTGCAACTCTTTATCGCAAGACCATGAGAGCTTCCTTTATTAAGCACTCGTGTGCCATCAAGCTGGGCCCAACCCTTAACTGACCCTCCAGCAGGTTTTCAGAGGTAGTTTATCACACAGGAGGAGACTGCCCATCCTAGGTATTAGATTAATTAATAAAACTAAGGGAATGTCTAAGTCTCTTAGAATTGAATTCTTTTTTAAAAAAATAATTGCCTTAGAATTGAATTCTTGTTAGGGAAAGAGTGAAGAGGGAGCCTGTGCTTGTACGTTCCAGACATTAAACACCAAGTAGATGTGCTAAGTTGTAAGCGGTTGTAGTTGTTGGTGGTGTCGTCAAGTCTCCTGTAACTCATGTTGTTGTAATTTCAAGGTGGAACTGACCCATAGTTGGCCTCCCAGCAGATTTTCAGAGATGATAATTTGCACAGGGAGAAGGATGGGCAATCTCCTCCATCTAATCACCTGCCTCTGAAAACCCGCTGCAGGGTTCCAACTTGACAGTACACAACAACAATGTGCACAGGAGGCATTAGCCTATCCTCCGCAGAGCAGTTGGTAGACTCAAACCACATACCCTTGCGTTGGTGGTGCAATTCCTTACCACTAAGCCACCTCTAACTCCCTCCTCTAACTGATAGTGACCCTATATACAACAGAACAGAAGCCTGCCCAGTCCTGGGCCACCCTGGCAGTCTCTGCTGTGCTTGAGCCCGTTGGTGCTGTCTCTGTGCCAGTCCGTCTTGTTCAGGGTCTTCTTCTCTTCTGCTGACCCTCTACTCTTCCAAGCATGGTGCCTTTCTCCAGGGAATGGCCCCCTCCTGACAACATGCCCAAAGTATATGAGACAAGTAACTAGAAACAGGACGCAAAAATAAAACACTACACTAGGGGATTAAGAGAAGTGTCTAGGTGGTGCAAAGAGTTAACCAGTCAGGTGCTAACCAGAATGTTGACAGTTTGAACTCACCTAGAGGTGCCTCTGAAGGAATGCCTGGTGATCTGCTTCCAAAAGACCACACTATTGAAAAGCCTACAAAGCAATTCACTCTGACACACGTGGGTGACTGTGGCGCAGAGTCAAATGGACTGGCACAGTTTGGATTTTTTAGGGGACAAAGGATGACAGAGAGAAGAGCCCTTTTAGATGGCCTCCCTGAGCAGATAGCATTTGACAGACATGTGAATAAGATGAAGAAAAGAACTATGAAGCTTTCCAGGCAGAGGGCACAGCAGGTGTAGAGGCTAAAAAGCCAAGGTGTGCCTGGTGATTTCCAGGAATAGCAGTAAGTGAGCAGAGACTGAGTCCAGCTCAGGTGGACAGATCTGTGAGACATACAATTTTGGCATACTGTTCTTTAGTCTTAAGCCAGAACAACTCCAGGAGACAGAATTAGGAGTCAGGAAATTTGCATTCAGCTCTAAGCACGATGCTTGCCTAGGCGGATGCACATATTTGCAGGCTGGCCAAATTCTTCCTTTGCTAGTTAAGCACAGAATAAAGTCTGCAACAGGGGTTCGTTTTCACAGTCATATTTACCTCCTTCTGTCAGATCTAGCCCATCTTCCTCTTCCCCCAGCAACCAAGTGAGAATGACAAGAGAAAGCATCTCATCAGTTGCTCTTAGACTCTGCTAGGTAGGGTCTGGTGTTCTCTACAATCTTGTAAACATGATCTTCCTTTTCTTGGCCCCCAGTAACTTGTTAATAAAAGAGGAAATTTATTTTTCTCTTCTCCCTACTAGACAAAGCATATGCTAAATGTCAGCTGTTCTTGCTTTCTACTTCGCTCTCTCCCTTCTTGGGCTCAGAACAAGGCCTTTTGAAGCTGGAAGGTGACCATGCTGTATGTGAATCTGAGCACCACTGAGGCCCGTGTGGCCAGATCCAGCCCTCCCTGCCACAGCCCACCTGACTCCGCAGCCACCCCCTGTCCCCAAAGCTGGTCACCCAAAGACAAACTGAGCCCTAGCTGTTGAAGGAGAGTTTGTGCACATGTGGTCACCCAGAGAGTCTTCCAAAGGTCTGTTCTTCAGGCCAACTGGTTCTGCTCAGTCTTGCGACCTCAGTTAGTTTCTAAACAGTTGCATAAAAATCAAAGGACACTCATTAAGAGAGCGCCTACATTTTGTCTTGTCCTCTCTTGTGGATCTGACCAATCCTTTGAGGCTGCCAGATGTGTTTCTCCCAGAGACAGGCCATATCCCTCTCCTCACTCCCCAGAACCTCTCCTCTCCAGAGGGAGGAGCACTGAGCTTCACAGCGGGAGGAGGAGCCAGGCTTCATCACCAATGAAGGAAGAATGACTGAGAGCCATTGTTCATTAAGACCTTGTCATTTCTTATCCTGAATGGACAGATGCGTTGTTCATCCATCCTGCTGCAGACGGTGTTCTCTACAGATCATGCTCATCATCACCTCAGCGCCATTCCTAAGGGGCATTTTTTTAAATTTAGCTTCTTTTTTTATTTTATTTTATTTTATTATTTTTGTGTGCGTGTACCGTCAAATCAGATCTGACTGGTACAGGAGGAGATAGTCCCTCCTTCCTCGGCAGAGCATCTGGTGGATTTGAACCATTCGCCTCTGGAATTGTAGTTGCAGCTCCTTGCCGCTAGGCCACCAGAGCTCCCCAGCATAAGGGGCACTTTTAATCTCTTTTTTGAGCTGCCCAGCCGCACCCCTGTAGGGCCTCCTACAGCTCGTCTCTTCTGCACCCATTGACCCCATCCAGAGTGGAGGCAGCTCTGGTGCTTGGCAGACACGTGATCTTTCTCGGCTTCTGACCTGATGCCATCTCTTCCTGCTCCTGGCAAATCTGCCTTTCGTACTCTTACCTGGTTACTCATCTGACAGTTGTTAGATACCTTGAGGGCAGGGGTCATGTCAGGGGTCATGTCTCATTCGTCCCTGAATCCCCAGGTCAGGTACAGAGATGTATTAGGCTGTCTGGAATTGTTCCCTGAATAAATGAACAAACAAAGAATGCAGCTCTTAGAAGATAAATTGGAGTATCTTAGCTGCCCCCTCTTTCCCAGGACTGTGTAAGCCCTTTCCACTCCACACCTTTCTGTGTCCTGTCATCTTCACCAATTGCTTTTTCTGTAATCTTGGTAGTCATAAACTACTACAGTGGACTCAGCTTTCCCTAGTTACAAAACTGGTCCTCCGATTTCCTGTGTCACCCAAGTCCTCATCCTTCATCCAGTCAACATTCACAGCAGACGTTTATTGACCAAGACCAAGTATCAGGCGCTAGGTTGGGGACCACGACCTAAAGAAAGGCCTTCTCCTAGTAAGGCTTTCATCTTAACCCCGAATTCTGCTCCGCTCACCCCATCTTCAAATTAGTTCCTTGAAGATGCACTCAGTCGCGCCCACGCTGAGCCATGCTTAATCTGTTTCTGCAGACACAGCTAATGTACAAATGGGCGGAGCCGAAAATCTGCAGCGAGGAGCTCGAGGGGGCGGTGAAGCTGCCCGCGTCTGGCGTGAAGACTGTCTGCCCACCTTGCAACCCAGGCTTCTTCAAAACCAGCAACAGCACGTGCGAGCCCTGCCCCTACGGCTTTTACTCCAATGGCTCCGGTAACCCCCTCACCTGCCCTGCTCCCTACAGTGCCACCCATCACTCCTATGTCAGGTGGCGGCCCAATAAACACAGACTCTGCCTCCCCAGGAAGTTCAAGATGAGAGAGAGGCCAGGGGCTGGGCTTGTCTGTAGGGCTGAGTTCAGAACTGTCCTCTTCTTCCTCTTTAACTGTGAATGTGACTCAGGCTCAGACTCAGGCTTCTCCCATCTGGTAGGGGTGCTATCTAGAAGGTTTAGGGGGGTTGACATGACCCAGTTAATCTGTAAGCCATCCATTTACTGATAATCATGTGAGAAATAATATTGAAGTCCATGAACTAGTAGATGCATTTAAGTTTTGAAATGAAGCGTTTAGTGGGCATTCAGGATGGTTGGAAGGTTGGAATGAAGGGTCAAGCTTTATGCTTTGAGTCTTTTAAACACTCTCCAAATGATTTCTTTAGTCCATTTGCTACAACTGCAAGAGCCGTCAGCACCAGCCTTGCTTGGCTGCCCACTGCTGTCGCTGCTCCTCTGTGTGTCAGCAGCTCCAGTCTGGGCGTGTCAGGCTGCCTGCTAACGTTTGGGTCTTGTGGTTCCTCCCCGGCCCCCCAGATTGTGCCCACTGTCCAGCTGGGACTGAACCAGCCCTTGGATTTGAATACAAATGGTGGAACACGCTGCCTGCGAACATGGAGACAACAGTTCTCAGTGGGACCAACTTTGAATACAAGGGCCTGACAGGTAATTGCCCTGCTTCTTCCTGTGAGGCTCAGCTCTCTGCACACTCTTGGGGGTTTCTGCAGACTCATGTTTTGGCAAATAATTATGTCTGAGAGAAATAAGCAAACCATGGCTTTCATTCCCATGGAAGTTCCACCCCTTCTGGACAGTCTACCAAATAAATCTTCGTTTCAGAGACAGAAACCATTGGAAGCAACATGCTTGCACCACCACCCTAACCCCCAATGTTTGTTCCAAGAGCTTCAGAGTCTTCGCCTAAAGCTGTGGGTTAAAGTAACGTTTGTGGTCAGCAGTGGTTCTGGACACCTCAGAGAACGAGGCTGTCACTCCCTTCCAGACATCCAGGAAGCACCAGGGCGTTAACTCCTTCCTCTCGTTTTGCAGGCTGGGAGGTGGCTGGAGATTACATTTACACCGCTGTTGGAGCCTCAGATAATGACTTCATGATTCTTACCCTGATTGTGCCAGGATTCAGGTGAGGAATGCACAACCAAGGGGAGCCCAAAGCTAACCTGGCTACACCCACATTCTACATGCCTTGGAATGTTGTTTCTCCGAGTGGCACAAATAGTCTGAGCTCAACTACTAATGCGAAGGTTGGAGGTTCAAACCTACCCAGAGGCACTGCAGAGGATAGGCCTGGTGACCTGCTTCCACAAAGAGGCATTCCAAAAAGGCATGTGGAGCATAATTCTACTCTGTCACATAACACACAGACTAATGGTAGCAGGTTTGAGTTGGGAGGTTGGGGAAGTGTAGGTGTCTGGAGTTGAACTTCTCTCCTTTTGGTTAGCCATGTGACATGCTACGTCACTACACTGTGAGCTTCCTTTCATCTTTAAGTACCAGTTCAGAGAAGAGGAAAGCACGCCATGGGGCTGGCAAGGTTAACCTGAAGGCCAAGGTGGCTTTTCCCTTGCTACTAACTTGCCTATTGCTCTGTCAACTTTCCTAGGCTCACATTCTTTCCCTACAAGTTGGCAACAAGCTACTTGAATTTGTTCTCCTCCTAGCATCTGATAGGATTAAACTTTGAAAAATAGGGTTACAGGGGAGCTCTGGTGGCCTAGTGGCAAGAAGCTGCATTGCAATCCCAGAGGCACACGGTTCAAATCCACCAGTTGCTCTGATGGGGAAGGAGGGACAATCTCCTCCTTATCAGTCAGATCTGATTTGACGGTACACACACAGGCACAAATAATAAAAATAAAAGAAAAATAGGGTTACAAGTGCCTAGTAACGTTGATAGTGCTGGTTGGAGACCACAAGGGCACAAGATTTACTGCATTTTACATAGTAAAATATACCCCACAATGTATAATCTCACCACAATGATGAGAGGGAGACAAGAATAATACGATCATCTCCATTTTCTTGATGAGGAAACGGTTTGACTAGAGGGAGGTCCCATAGCCAGGGTGGCAGAAGTGAACGTTACCCTTTTCTCATTTTCAAAACCTAGTCCTGCCCACGGCCCACACTCTGCTCCTGTTTGGGCTCTTCGGCAAGCTTCGCCTCGACTCGAAAACTGATTCGTCACCTCTGTCCCCACAGGCCTCCACAGTCGGTGATGGCGGATGCAGAGAATAAAGAGGTGGCTAGGATCACGTTCGTTTTTGAGACCATCTGCTCTGTGAACTGCGAGCTCTACTTCATGGTGGTACGTTCCTATCTTCACTCACTGAGGGACTGAGGACTGGGGCCGGTGGGGGAGCCTGCCCCCCTGCCCCACTAATGTGCTAATTTAACCGACGCTCCTGCTTGTTGTGATGCCACATTGAAAGGGCTTGGATGGGCCAGCAGGAAGGTCACAGATAGACGTGGGTCTGTGCTCACCATGGGGTGGGATGGGTGTTTTCTGCCAGCTGCAATTTCTTCTCTCCCTCGTCTTGGGCTCAGGGCATGAATTCCAGGACCAACACTCCTGTGGAAACGTGGAAAGGCTCCAAAGGCAAACAGTCCTACACCTTCATCATCGAGAAGAACGCGACCATGAGCTTCACCTGGGCTTTCCAGAGGACCAGTTTTCATGACGCAGTAAGTATCTCCCCTTGCCTCAGACTGCCAGTTCCTAGAAGAGACTCTGTGAACCTGAGAAGATACCTACCGTTAGCTTAAGGGTAAGTGGGAGGTTCAGAATCCAAGCGTTTGAGGGATCTTAAAATATCGATGAGAGAACGGTCTAGCAGCCCTCTGAGTGTCGTCTCGTCTTAGCATCATCTTGCCCAACTAATTTCCAGAGGTGATACTTACCCTTCGGTAGGAACCCTTACCTTGAGGACATCAGTGCCCAACCTGCTTCATCTTATTGCATCCCTGTTGTTGTTCTTTTAAATAATAAAATAAAAAATATTTTAAATATCTTCTTCCTACAAAGTAACAAAAGTTCATTTCAGAAAACATCATAAACAAGAAATTAAATGACTCACAATCCTTCCACAGTTAACCTGTTAACATCTAGACAGTCTCCTATACTATCTTTATTTCCTCTACAACTACATTTTCCCTGTTTTACTAGGAAAATACCTGCATTTCAAAAATTTAACAGTATATACTGATTTTTCTCTGGTACTTGATATTCTTTTTTTAAAACTTTTAAAAAATTTTTATTGTTATTTTTTTGTGTGTACCGTCAAATTGGATCTAACTGGTACTAGAGGAGATTGTCCCTCCTTCTCCAGCAGAGCATCTGGTGGATTCAAACTGCATACCTCTGGGAAGTGCAGCTTCTTGCCACTAGGTCACCAGAACTCCCCGATACTTGATATTCTTATATAACATTTAAAATAATTCAGTCTTGTTTTAAAATTGTTCAAAATCCAAATAAAGAGTTGCTGCTAAGTGAATAAGAAATATGTTTAGAATGTTTCTAAGATTTTTCTCAAATATCATAGGATGAAAAAAGATTAAGAAGGACTTTGCTCTTTGCTCATGGTTTGGAGCTGTGGTGCCAATCCAGAGACACACAGTTCAAATCCACCAGCTGCAAGGCCAGCCAAAGATAGGCAGTTAACTGTCATGTGATTTACTGGCTCAGAAAGTCCACTGGCGTGTCAGCTATGAGTTGGTTCCATCCTGACAGCCCATAACAACAATAGCTATCTCAGGCTTATTTCCACTCCTCTTATTTTCTCATTTCCAGGGTAGAAAGTACACCAATGATGTTGCCAAGCTCTACTCCATCAACATCACCAATGTCATGGATGGGGTGGCATCCTACTGCCGTCCCTGTGCCCTAGAAGCTTCTGACATGGGTTCCTCTTGTACTTCCTGTCCTGCTGGCTACTACATTGATCGAGACTCGGGGTCCTGCCACTCCTGCCCCTCTAACACAATTCTGAAAGCTCACCAGCCTTATGGCATCCAGGCCTGCACACCCTGTGGTCCAGGGACCAAAAGCAACAAGGTACCAGAGTCTGCCATGCATCCTCGCTTCACGTCTCTTGATGGACCACTTCTGAGGGATGGTTCCTGCATGGGGTTCTTCAGAGGCTAATATCCAAACACTCCCAGGCTAATGTCCTAGAGAAGACCAAGGAATAGTGAGCACTGGGGCTCAAGTTCTGCTTAGTCCAGTGCAGCCTGTTATCATGAGGAAAGTTACCAGACTTTGCTAGAATGTATGATTAATGGGTCTTGCTGTCTTCTACCCAAGGATACATACATCTCTTTCTAAAATGGAAAAATAGTTTTGCTGCCTCACCTGCTTTATGTATCTTACAGAGTGTTCATATGACTTTAAGTAATTATGCTTAATGCTTTTAAAATGAATTTGTATTTTGCTGATCACAACCACATGCACATACATTTGCAAGCCATTATTTATATAGTCTACAAACAATACGTTGTTTAAGTGTGCAATAATTACAGCAATTCTGCATAGCCCCAGAAACCTCATGGGTACCTGGTCTTTTGCCACCTCCTGTCTTCCCCCCTTGAGCTCCCTCTGCTGTTATGGGAGAGAATGACAGCTGAGTAAGGCTGCTTCTAGTGGACTAGGACCCAGTTTGGGGGTTAACGAGCTGCTTTTGCAGTTCAGCTTCCTACAGAGAACCTGAGAAAGAGGAAGCAGAGACAGGCAGGGCTTGGAGTTTCTTTTCAACTGTCTTCTTGATGATGTTGTTCGGTGCCATCGAGTCGAGTATGATCAGCAACCCTATGAACCGCCGTTCTGAAACTGGACCTGTCGTGTACCATCCTCATCGTCTCTGAGACACTAGAATGAATTGCTGAAGTCAGAGTGTCAGTCCATCTCATTGGGGGTCTTCCTCTACTTTGTTGAGCTTTCCAAGCATGATTCCCTTTCCAAAGAATAGCCTCACCTAGCTACATGTCCAAAGTATGAGAGACGAAGCTTGGTCATCCTTGCCTCCAAGGAGCACTCTGGCCCCACCCTTTCCAGGACCTATCTGTTCCTTTTTCAGTCCATGGGATATTCAGTACTCTATTCTAGTGCCACAACTCAAAGGCATCAATTCTTCTTCTGTCATCCTTATCATTGTCCGGCTCTCTCATGCATAATACTTAATGTCTTCTAAAGATAATTGTCTTGTACCTTGAGTTGTCAGCTTCACCTCATGGTGACCCCATGTACCCAAGAGAAAGAATTATTGCCTACTGCTGCTCCCTCTTCATGAGCGTGGATGGACTTATATTTAAACACTGTGTGTTTGGAATGCCTTCCAACATAGAGGGCCCGTTGTCCATCACTGTATCAGACAATATTCTGATGTGGTCCAGTTGTTGTTGTTATGTGTCATTGAGTCGTTTGCGACTCTTAGCGACAACAGCCCTAAACCCTGCTCTATCCTGTGCCAGTTGCACTGATCCAGAGTTTTCTTTAATTCCTTTTGAGAAGTAAATTTCCAGCCCTTTCTTCCTAGTCTGTCTTAGTCTAGAAGCTGCAGTGAAACATGTCCACCATGGGTGACCCTGCTGGTATGTCAAATACTGGTGACATAGCTTCTGTCCTCATAGCAATCCACAAGCCAACACACTATATAACACACTATCAAACAGCATTATCTACCTCAGGAGCCAGGTGGCATCATGTATGTAACTTGTCAGGCTGTTAACCACAAGGTAGGCAGTTCCAGTCTCTTAAAGATGTACAACCTGATGGAGGGTCATTATGAGTTAGAACCAACTCAATGGCAGTGGGTTTGGTGGATATTGTCACAGAAGGAGCCCTGGTGACATAATGACTTAAATGTTGGGTTGCTATCCAAAAGGTCAGTGGTTTGAACCAGCAAGACACTGTGAATAAGAATGATGAGGCAGTCTGCTTCCATAAAGAGTCACAGTCTCATAAGCCCCATGGGGCAGTTCAAAGTCATCCCCTAGGGTTGTTGTTAGTCAGCATTGACTCAGTGCCAGTGTCTAATTGTCTCCAAGCTTATCAAATTTTACCAAACTATTACTGAGAAATAAGAAGCTGAGGTTTACACAACATGTATGTGCAGGTAATTGAATGGCAAGCTGCACAAAAATCCCATTCACCTCTGGTTTATTTGCTCTTTTAACGCCACCCCTTATTTCCTTCCTCCCCGTTCACCTCATTTGGGTCGGGCCAGGCCAGGGTAGATAACATTCTCTATGCGCGCCTCAGGGCCCTGCCCTGCCAGCCAGCGTGACCTGAGCCCTCTCCCCTCAGATCCACTCTCTGTGCTACAATGACTGCTTCTTCTCAGTCCACAATGCAGCACGGACTTATGACTACAACTTGTCAGCTTTGGCAAACCCGATTTCTCTCTCTGGAGGGCCAAGCTTCACTTCCAAAGGGCTGAAATACTTCCATCACTTCACCCTCAGTATCTGTGGAAACCAGGTAAGGTGCACGGGGCTAACAGGTGAGAGCCGAAAGGGGCTGACAGGGGCTAGAGACCGCATGAAGGAAGGTGAGGGAGCTGTCAGTTTCTACCTCATAATAATCCTGTTTACAGCAGGACGAGACCATGCCTGGCCCTGCACCGTCCTCACAGTGGCTGCTGACCTGGAGTCCATTGCTGCAACTGAGAGTCTATGTTTAGCTAAATTACAAAACAAGCCAGTTAGTAACTGGAAAGTTAGGTTCAAATGTTCTAAACTAGGAACAGAAGTCCTGATGTGGTGCTCAGCTGTTCACTGAAAGGTTGAAGGTTTAAGCCCCCCTCCCCAAAGGCTTCTAGGCAATTCAGGTGGCTTAGTGGTAGGAAGTTGCACTGTCAACCCAAAGATATGTGGTTCAAATCCACCAGCTACTCTGTGAGAGAGAGCATCTCTTCCCATGTGATTTCCTGCCTCTGAAAATCTACTCAAAGGTCAGCTGTGAGTTGATTCTGGATCCAATCTTTATAATCCATCATTTTCACAGGCTGATTTTTCAAATGTTGATTATCAGGCCTTTCTTCCCAATCTTTCTTCATCTGAAAGCTTCACTGAAAGATCTTGGGCATAATAGCAGCACACAGTCCCCCAGTCACATATGGATGCTGGCTGAATAGGAGGTGCATTGCCACAGAATTGAACCCAGGACCCCTTCGTGGAAAACAAGAATTCTACCACTGAGTCATCATTGTCCCTTCTAAATATTAAAAAAAACAAACAACAAAAACCCATGAAGCCATGAAGTTGGAACCAACTCACAGCTGACTCTGCAGTAGATTTCCAAGTCTGTAATCCCATTGTAGGTTCAAATCGCTAAAAAGGCCCTGACTTTAGGATAACGGGGCAAATCCCTGTTTTATGCCACCAGGGTGCCTTTCTAAATATTTAACACATTGAACTTGAAGTATTGAACGAATGATTTTCTATTTTCAAGTTATATATGAATATTCCCTAAGTTCATTGCCATCGAATTGGAACTACTCAGAACTGACGCTCCACTGGGTTTCCCAGGCTGTAAATCACGTGGGAAGTTGCCCATTTCTCCCCAGGAAGCTGCTGGTAGATCTGCGCTGTTGTGGCCTTTGGTTTCACAGCAAGGCCATCAGAGCTCCTAACATTCTCTAAATGTAACATTTTTTTAAAGGATAATGTCTCAATCTTTTTCTCTATTGTAAAAGTTCAAGGGAGAATGAGATTGACTTTCCCCACCCCTTGTCTTCCAGAGTTCTGCCCAGTGATTGTATTAAATACAAGAGGATAAGCAAAAGGTTACATGTTTTTTAAAGATAGAATGAGTTCTTAAGTATCCTAGGGTCATTCCTCAGGCCAGGGCCGAGCTAGTCATCAGGACGCTTGAAACCCCAGACAGTCTCTGCCTGGAAGGGAAGGAACATGAACAGCTCAGTTGTTAAAAGGAATTCCACTGGTTTCTGGGATTGGTTACATATTTTGATCCCTGTTTAGAAAACTGACAAGGAGGTTGGGATAAGGTAGAGCTGGTGAGCTGTTGTTGTTGTGTACGAGTCAGAACCAACCCACAGCTGACCCTTCAGCAGATTTTCAGAGGCAGTTAATTACACGGGAGGAGATCATCCATCCTTCTCCTGTGGAGGTGGAGCAGCTGGTGGCCTTGAACCACATGCCTTCGGAATTGTAGGGCAGCCTCTTGCCACTATGCCACCAGAGCTCCCTAACTGATGAGCTAATAGGGTAGATTTCCAAATCAGTTGTCACCATCAGAATTCTACTCCTATCCCAGGGAAATCCAGAGAGAGATAGAACACCTGGGACCCCTGAGCCAGCATTGTAGAAACTAGGACACCTCAGCTTTATTTTTAGCCCTTAAAAAAAGACTGTGTCTTGTAATTCCGTCTGGGATGAGCCATTCCACTGCAGCCTACCACTGGGACGGTGAATGTTTAGGTGCAGGCAATCTGTTCCCCTTGCCCCTTTGAGAGTTCCTCTTTGACTCCTCCTTCCTCCCCACACCCTGTCACCCCCATTCCAGGGTAAGAAAATGGCCATTTGCTCAGACAACGTCACTGACCTCCGAATTTCCGAGGGTGAGTCAGAGTTCTCCAAATCCATCACGGCCTACGTCTGCCAGGTGGTCATTGTCCCCCCGGAGGTGACAGGCTACAAGGCCGGGGTGTCCTCGCAGCCTGTCAGCCTCGCCGACCGACTCATTGGTGAGTAACCCACTGCCCCAGCTGGTGGTGTCACTCGGGTATATGAAGGGTACAGAGCACACTAGGTGACACTTTTAGAGGGATGACAGCAAAATGACTAGAACATTATTGTGCAGCACATATGTGCTGGTTTTTTATATTATAAAACCCTTTTTGTTAGTTATAACAACAGAAACATCTATTGATCTGTCTACATGATTGATGTACCCACAAGGCTAAAACTCTGTGCTGATTTACCTTTTGAGCCTTCTAATTCACTCCAGACAGTGCTGTCTTTATTACCCAATTATAGTGACCTCTGGAATCATGTGACTTCCTCTGCGTGCACTACAAGCCGCACTATTGGGGTTTTATGTGGCCAGTGTCTTTATAGTCGCTGATTTTGACAGGTCTTCTGGTGTTTTAGCCACAACATGATAGTAATTAGTACTTGCGGACTCATATCAATAACTTTTTTGAGAACAGTAATTAAAGGAAAAGAAAAATTTTCAAGAAATGGCAGCTAACTCATTTGCTAATAATGTAATTCAATATACAGAGATTTTACAAAGCAATTTTATTAGTGTACATGTAATCTAAGAAGTATTACAGAATTTACTCTTTGATATTCTTTAATTTCATAATTATGTAATTATTCTATGATTAAAATTAATAATAAGCATGAGTAAAGATCTGTAAAGGCACCCTGGTGGTGCAGCGTGTTCCGTGTTGTGCTGCCAACCAAAAGGTCAGCTGTTCAAATTCACCGGCCCCTCTGCAAGAGGAAGACAGGCAGTCTCCTCCTGTAAAGATTTCCAGCGTTGGAAACCAGATGCAAGGCTACCATGGTGGCAGTGGGGCAGAATAAAGGATTCTGTATGATCCATTACAGGAGGAGGTCCCTGTGGGTGGGGAGTGACATCATGAGTGACACCAATCCTAGTCACCCTCTGGCCCTAAACTTGAATGAACGTGTACATGTGTGAGCATGTGTGTATGTGTGTACACTGTGGATGAGATGGAGAGGGCGACAGGCTATTGATGTGAAGGCCCCAAATGAGGGTCCCAAAGTCCTGAACTCTGTTTTCTGTTCCACCTGAGGTGCCAAGTGCCCCTGGGACCTCTGACAGACCTTTTGGTCACCTCATGAGCCACCTGGGGGATGTAATGAGATGAAGTGAGGCTGGGTGTTGACAGGTATTGAAAGAATCAAAGTGGTTGCCAGCTAACTGACTAGTGAGAACTAAAGAGGAGCTCTAATTTGGCAGGGGTGACAACAGATATGGCTCTGGATGGAATCACCTCCCCAGCTGACCTTTTCCCCCCGGAGTCCTTGGGAATACCGGACGTGATCTTCTTTTATAGGTGAAGATGAGAGGCTAACATACACAGCAGCCAGGGCTCCTCCACAGTTTCAGCTGCACCCCTCCCTCTTGAGCCACCCACTTATCAAGCCAGAACATGTCTGAGGTTGAGCAGATCTGCCCAGTGATGATAGTTACGGGCTGGGGGTTCCCTGACCCCAGCCCTTGGGTATTAGGGCAGTTCTGCATTGGAGGGAGAGAAATTAGTGCATACTCTGTAGCCAACTACCCTTCTGGCCCAAGGAGGCTCCTGTGCTAGGCATATGCTGGTCTTATTACCCTGCCTAGATCTCTTCATCTCCCCCTTGACTGGCCTCCCATGGTCCCATTCTCTCCATGTACAACCCAAGGCCTATGCTTTCCTTGTGGGTCTAGAGTACAAGTCTAGAACCCAAGTTCCATCCTCCCCAGTAAGGAAATTGTTCCATGTTGACCCTTCTTGGTGACTCCTGGGCAGCACAGCTGAGCACCTCGTTCCCCCCCATGGGGAATGGCTTTCTCTGCAGGTCCAACGATGTGACCCAGTCCTGCGGTTCTGGGAGATCAACCACTGTCCGTGTCAGATGTGATCCGTTGAAACCTGCCCCTGGAACTCTGCTTCTGCCAACGTAAGCCACATGGAGGACCACAGTGGAGGTCAAAGCCTCCCTTAGAAAAGTTCATCCCATCCCAGGATCCAGACATTACTTCTTGTTGTTATTGTGTACCATAGAGTTGGAACCCACTCATAGCTGACCCTTCGGTGGGTTTTCAGAGGCACTTAATTGCACAGGAGGAGATTTCCCATCCTTTTCCAGAGGAGCAGCTGGTGACCTCGAATCTCATGCCTTCAGGACTGCAGCACAGCTTCTTGCCACTAGGCCAAGAGCAAGAGAGAGAATAGTTTAGGACCCACAGATGGGCTCTGGGAGGCTTAGTTGGGCCCCAAGTCCTCAGCCTACAGGGTGAGAGAGAAGGAATAGTGAAAGCTACCCTCACATCTCCAGACCATTAGAGGGGCACTTGTGGGGAGAGCTGATAACACAGCTTTTCACCTGCACCCGCTCTCCAGTACCCTGTGTGGGTGGTGCTTAGAGGGAGGGTCATGGGAGTTACCAGAGGGTGCCCACTCACCCTTCCCTGTAGTGCCTGAGATCACGGACAGAACTGTGCCCAGAAGGCTCACTGATTCAAGGTTTTCTGCTGCATATCTCTTTCTCCAGTTTTCTTCTAGAACTGAAACTTGATATATAGAAATGAACTCGGGATCTGGAATCAGCAAGAAGTGGTCTAGAATTCTCACTTTGATAACTAGTTAAACTGGACGACACTGGGCTACCAAAACTTTCTGAGTCTCAGTTTTCCTAACTCCCCCCTTATCTGTAAAATGAGAATAATATTCTCCCCAGATCACTGAAGTGGAGGGACTCTGTGGCCTAGTGGTAGGAAGCTGCACTACAATCCCAAAGCCAATGGTTGAAGTCCACCAGCTCCTGTGTGCTTAAACCTGCTAACGGGTCAGCTATGGGTCAGTTCTGACTCTTTGACTTGATGGTACACAACCGCAACAACCACTGAAGTGGACCTGTGGCTGTGAGCTCAGCCTGAGGGCTGAGTTAGAGTCTGCTGCTCCATTTCCCATCTGTGTTTCGTAGATACATTTCTTCTCTTCTCTGAGCTGCTTGTCCCTTATTTGTAAATGGTAGCCTAGTGGCAAAAAGCTGCACGGCAATCCTGAAGGCACACGGTTCAAATCCACCAGCTGCTCTGTGGGAGAAGGATGGGCAATCTCCTCCTGTGTGACTAACTGCCTCTGAAAATCCACCAGAGGATCAGACCAGAGGGTCAGCTATGAGTCTATGGGTCATTTCTGACTTGACGGCACACAACAACAACATTTTTCCATATAGTACCCGGTCACATCTTGAGGGGCATATTAGTGTCTTGAGGAGCATATTATGGGAAATGCTGATCTAAAACACTACTGTTTGGGGGTGGAGGGTTGTCAACTATTATTGTTTTTATCATCACCTGTCATGTACGTGGCAGATACCCATCACTGAAGTCCATTCCCATCTACCAACTCAATGCCAAATCCCTCCCAAGAAATGGCTTTGAAGTGGTTATTTCAAAGTGTCACATATCCACGGGGGAAGCATGGGAGGGAGTTGGATGCTCCAGCCCAGATCTGCTGCTTTAGGCTCATCTGACGTCAGCAGAGAATGGAGAGCCCACTGGAGACCAGAAATGCCTCTCCTCATCGTCAGGAGGTCCAGGGGCCAAAACCTGTCTGAAGGACCCATGGGAAGGACCCAGAGGGGATAACATTTTTGGTGGGGGAAAGGGTGGTTCAGGCAACCTGTGAGGTGACAAGGCCCCAGCCTTCCTACAGGAGTGTGCAAATGAATGCTCAGGTCTCTCTTCTGTTTGACCAGCACTTGCTCGGAGGGGACCTGTGACGGCTGTACCTTCCACTTCCTGTGGGCCAGTGCCGCGGCTTGTCCTCTCTGCTCCACGGCCGACTACCATGCCATCAGCAGCAGCTGTGTGGCTGGCATCCAGGTAGAAGGCCTCTGCTTGGGGGTTTGCCCAGGAGCAAAGGCAAAGGCATAACTAACTGAGTTCCATGGTGTTTTACCCAACAGAAGACAACGTATGTGTGGCGGGAACCAAAGCTGTGTGAGGGCGGCATCTCCCTGCCTGAGCAGCAGGTCACCATCTGCAAGACAATTGACTTCTGGCTGAAAGTGGGCATCTCTGCAGGCACCTGCACGGCCATCCTGCTCACCGTCCTCACCTGCTACTTCTGGAAAAAGAATCAAAAGTACATGGTTGAGTTTTGGAGTTTGGAGACAGATAGACCATTGAGCAGGGAGAACCAAACCAAAAGCCATACCCATTCCCATTGCATTGATCCCACTGTGTTGATCTGGACTCAGAGTAACCCCGTGAGGCAGAGTAGAAACCCTGCCCTCAGGGTTTCCACGCCTGTAGACTTTAGGGGTGCACATTCCCACATCTTCCTCTCTTGAGAGGAAAACATCCAGGAGAGGGCATGGCTGGAGCTTTCCCCTGGAATTCACCATCGACTCTGAGTCCGGCCATTTTTTTTTTATTCTTAATTTCAATGAAAATTTACAGAGACTTTGGACTTCCATTCATTCATTGTTGTACTTTTCTCCCCTCCCAACCCTCCCCCCAGTACACTACCCTCTCGGAAAAGTAAAACAAAAATTCTTTCATTGTTTTACAATCCCTCCCCTCAGGTCCACTCCACTGTGCAGCCTTCGCTCTAGACTCCTGTCATGACAAAAATGCCTAATCACATACCCCTTTTAAACAGTTTTCTCCCTCATCTGTTTCAATGCAGTATACGTTACTGAACTCATCTTTCTCAGTCTCCCCCCAACCCTGATGTCAGTCCTATTTACAACAGTGGCACCATGCAGTATTTGTCCTTTTGTGGCTGAGATACTTCACTCAGCATAATGTCCTCCAGGGTCGCCCATTTTGAATAGTGTTGCATGAGTTCCTTGTTTTTCAAGAGTCTGGCAATTTCTAAGCACCAGTTACCCTGGCTCCTGAGAGTGGAATCCAGTGCCAGACTATGAAGAGTTGTTAGATTCTCAAAAAACAAAACAAAACAAAACACCATCATTGATAATCTGCTATAATTATTAACAAAAATAATGATTTGGGGATTACACTATAGCTCTTAAGCTTTGAAACCACTGGGACAGCTAATTAATGTTAAGCAGGTGAGGGGGTGGAAGTCACTGAACAAGAAGCTAAGATTCCTTTGATCTCTTCTATCCCCAACTCCATGTTACCAGGCTCCAGTCCCCCCGCCCCCATGCCATGGGTCTGTTCATAGCTCAGCCTCTCTTCCTATCCCCCTTAGTCCCACGTTCTGGTATCTTACCTTTTCCGTCCCTCTGTCTCATAGACTAGAGTACAAGTACTCCAAGCTCGTGATGAACGCCACCCTCAAGGACTGTGACCTGCCCGCAGCTGACAGCTGTGCAATCATGGAAGGCGAGGACGTGGAGGACGACCTCATCTTTAGCAGCAAGAAGTCACTCTTTGGGAAAATCAAATCATTCACCTCTAAGGTAGGAGGGAGGCCTGGCAGTGCACAAATGAGGTCAGCCTGGAGGGCTGGAGAAGACTCGCTACCTTCAGAGAGCGGAGGGCCCTTCACAGTTCAGGAGCCACATGCTCTGTGAGCCCCACCGCCTCAACACACACACACACACACACACACACACACACACACACACACACGCCTCTGCACTCTAGTGTTCACCTGCCCTGGGTGTCCTCTCTTCCGCCCTCTGTACGTCCATACTACACTCCTTCCCCTGAAGCCAAAGGCTGCCCTTCATCAGCCTCCTTCTCCCCCAGCATGCACTCCAGTTGGTGGCCTGTTTGGGACTTATAACTTCCAGGAGTATTGAACCAATCCATGTTGTAAGAATCGTTTCCTTTTTTTGGAGGGGTTGTGGAGGTGGGGGACTGAGTTCTCTTAAAATCAACTCCTGCGAGAAGAAGCAAGGCTATCTTTTAACCAGTGGAGGGCACTGTCCCCCAGGTGTCTGGGTCCCTCCTGGGGGCAGCTGAGTCATAACTAAGTGATAAGTGCTCATCACAGTTCTGTGCTGGGAGGGTTGTTCCATGTGAGTGGGTGAGTGAGTTTGAAGCTCATAAATGCAATAGGGAGAACACTGCTGCTGGGCCAGGGGCCAGCAGAGAGCAGCCAACCAGCTCAGCGGGGCTCCAGCCAATCAGCCCCATTCCTGAACCAGTTTGTCCAAGCCTGTGTGGTCTGGGAGGGTGTGAGAGGGGAGTAGAGGCCAGAGGCATGGTGAGGATAGGAAGGTGATGAGGTATTTAGGTTGCTGAACTACATACATTCCCTTGGTGCTGGCCTAGGGTGCCGCCCTTGCCTCCCCAGCCCTAGATTGTTGACCAATGAGAGAATAATTCACTCTGGGACCCTCTGAGCCTGTCTGGGGCCTCCCAAGCCACAAGGAAGGAAACTAGAGCACGTCAGCATGGAGATGGGGCAAGACTAGAGTGAGGTGAAGGAATCCTGGTTGCTTGTTTCTTGGTCTCTTCAGCTGAGATGCACAGCGGGAGACTTATAATTTTAATTCAATTTTTTTCTTTATTCTCTGGCTGATTCTGAAGAGAGCAAGAAGAGGAGAGAATATTTCGTTTATGTTTCCATAAGGCCACTGCAAATGGAAATCCCTTAAGGATTCCGTCACCTGTTTTCCCGTTTCTTTCCTTTGTCCCCCTGCGTGCCCATGCCCAGCAGCCAGCTCCTGTTGCCTTCTGTCTTTCAGAGGACGCCTGACGGGTTTGACTCGGTGCCACTGAAAACATCCTCAGGTGGCCCAGACATGGACCTGTGAGGGCCCCACCCTGCCTCACCTGCTGCCTCACCTCGGCGCATCACCTGGCAAGCCTGTGGGTGCCAGCTTCATGCAACACCCACTACTGGAAATCTCTTCATCGTGGCCTTATCAGAAGACGTTTGAATTGCGGATCTTTGGTTTGTTTTTGGTTTTTTTATAGAATATCCAAATCCTGCTTACCTTCAGCCTGCCAAATATATCCACACTTTGTACATTACACCTTTGCTTGCATCTTCTTTCCCTACATGGTCCAGCCACGGAGCCACAGATTCAGCGCCTAGAATTCTCATAGCTCAGCAATGAAAATATTCCCCCTTTCTCATAAGCATACAGAAGCTATTTCTTCTGCCCCTTTATGGAAGGGCAGAAAGAGCAGAGAGTGCTCCTGATCATAACCGTCAGCTCGTGATCTCTTCAGTTGAGAGACTGGGAGAGGAGGGTACGGGGGTTCTTCATGGAAGCCTGGTTTCATTTCTCCCAGAGACTCAGTTCAAAGCTGAGTGTGAAGCATAGGCTTGAGGGTAGGCTGAGCAAGGCCTGGGTGGGGAAAGTCTTAGTAAGCTCGAAGAGAAGCAATAGAGAAGGATTTTTTTAAACTTTCTTTTCAAGTGAGGTACTCCATTCCCTTTTCTTAACCAACTGATAAATAGACTCATTGGAACCAAAGGGAAAACTTCACTGAGAAAAATGTCTCATCAACTCTTTGATGGACCCATTCTCCCATGCTTTTTCCCTCCCATCATCTTCCTAAGACACACTCCCTAGCCTTATTCTCTATTTTGTTTGTTTGTTTATTTGTTTGGTTTTGGTGATGACAATCTTTTCCCAGTGAGAAAACTTCCCCATCCTGAGTGCCTCAGACCCAGAGTTCTGCCAGGCAATATCAAAAGCAAACTCATTGCCATGGACACTCTTACCCACAGCAACCCTATAACCTGAGAGAAGACCATATGAGGCTGTAAATCTTTACTCCCATGAGCTATAAAGCATGTTCCACAGCTTTCCCCTGTGGGGCAGCTGAGGAGTTTAAACCACCGACCTTTTGCTTTACAGCCAAATACTTTAACTGTCATGTCACCGAAGCTCCTGTCAGGCAGTGTTGTCACTGTGTGCTGTCAAGTCGGATCTGACCCATAGCTGACCCTCCAGCAGACTTTTCAGAGGTGGTAAATCACACAGGAAGAGTTTGCCCATCTGTCTTCCATGGAGCAGTTGGTGGATTCTAACCACGTACCTTCAGGTTACCAGAGCAGCACCTTAGCATTTGTTATTGTTATTTCCCATTGAATCAGAACCGACCCATAGCTGTCCCAATAGTGGGATTTCAGAGGCAGTAATCGTACAGGAGGAGTTTGCCCATTCTTCTGCCGCAGAGCTGCTGGAGGATTTGAACAGTGTGCCTTCAAGATTGCAGCACTGATTCTTACCACTAGACCAACAGAGCTCCCTCCTTACCACTAGATCTATTATTATTTTTATGTCTATCTTATTTTGAAATAACACAAAGAGATCAGTGTTTTTATGGGCTGTCTTGGAGGAACCAGCTCACCATGAGATAGACTTGAGAGGCATGATGTCTCCTTCTAAGGTGGAGTCATCTACTCAGCTCCAGAACAGCTTCTTGCAGAGGGTGCAGCCAGGGTGTTCCTTGAAGACAAGGATGACGAAGCTTTGTCTCACATGCTTTGAGTGTGTTGCTAGGAGAGGTTAGCCTTGGAGGAGTGACATCCTGCTTGGAAAGGGGGAGGGGTGGCAAAAGAAAAGAAGACTCCCAACCAGAAGGGTTGATACCATGACTGGCAATGGGCTTGAGGGTGTCAGAGATTGTGAGGATGGCACAGAATAGGACAGGGTTCAGCTTGATTGTTCTTAGGGTTACTCTGAGTTGTGCTCGACAGCACCTAATAGCAATAAAGTCTGTAAAAAGAGGAAGCCCCTCAATGAGGTAGATTGGCATAGTGGGTACACCAACTGGGCTGAAGCTCAGCAAGGATTGGGAGGAGGATGCGGGACTGGGCCATCTCTGTTCTGTTGTGCATAGTTACTATGAGTTGGAGCCAACTGGACAGCACATTACAACAGAACAGCCAGAGTCCCTGACATGCTTGGCTGCCGACAGAAAGCTGGGTGGTCTGAGGCTGCCTAGAGGTACCTTGAAAGACCTAATTACCTACTTCCAAAAAGCTGCTGTGAACTCGATGGAGCACATTTCTACACTCACACACAGAGGGCACCATGTGTTAAGTTGATGCTGTGACGATAGGTGTTTTAGAATGGTCAAGAAAAAAGCTGAAGCCCAAGCCCCACCCGCAACAGCAGAACCAAACCAGCCTTCAAGAAGGGAAAACTAGACTTATTATTTAACAAGGTGTTTACCAAACCGGAGACTTCTCACTTTAAAGCCCTCTCCTTCCCTTTCCCCTGTTCTTTGTGTATGTTTTTTTGTGGGGGGGGAATAATACATGTGATCCCACAGCATCCTTTTTCAAAGGTGTGAGAGTGGGTGCTCCCTATGTGTCTTTGATCTACTTTTTATAAGTCTACTTACATAACCAAAATGACAAAGTCAGAGCAAGAGTTTGAATTACCTTTTTCCTTCCACTACAGGCAATTGTCTTCCACGACGGGGCTACACAACCCATTGCTTGGTTGCGGGTCCAGTTGCCTGTGATTTGTGCCTGTAGCTTTTTCCCAGTGGCAATTTGGCAGCCAAATGATAGGTCTAGAAAGGAGATGGCATTTCTAAATGGTTTGTCTGCCAAGAAATGACTTGTTCATCTGATTATTAGTCTTCACACCTCGGCAGTGATCTTATAAAAACACCTGTGAAAACTGGAGCCCCAACGTGATGTCTGGTTATTAATAATACCACTGATAGTCCCTTTGGTTCAAGAAATGAAGAAGCTTTTCTTTGGGTCCCCAGATCCACCCTGCTTTTGTAGGAGTAGTTTCTTAGAACATTGGTCCCACTGGGTGCTCTCAATGAGCTCATGAGCTCCTATAGCCTCAGCAACAGAAGATGCTAATATTAACCTGGAAATATCTGGGGAAAGTACATGCCCTTCTGACAGACTAATTCTGACATCATGAGAGTGAGTGTTTCCTGGACTCCACTGGTCTGGTGGCTCTCAGTGTTTCAATGTCTGCAGGTCTTTCCTGTGACCCTCCAAAAGCCCTTGAATTATTTTATTGATGTCTCGTTTTGCCGCCCTACCAAATCAGACACATACCGGAATTTTAAAAACTCATTTATTGAGATATACTTCATATATCATAGCACTCACCTAATTAAAATGTACCATTCAATGACTCTTTGTGTATTCAGAGTTGTGCAGCCATCATAACAATCAAGTTTAGAACAAATATGCATTGGATTTTATCAGGGAGAAGGGACTTAGAGTGATTTCCACAAGCTCTTGTGAGAGGGAATGTGGAACAGGCTGGGGAGAGAAAAAGTTTCAATCTCATTTGTTTACCTAGAGTCCTAGAACGCACAAGTAACTCTCATCATATAGGTATCACCTGTATTTGTCTGGAGATACAATAAAGATGTAGTGTATTCAAGGACCAGGGGCTTTCTTAAACCAACAAAACTTTTTTTTTTCCTGACCCTACGTTAAAGATAGGACTAACTATATTTATACAACAGAAACTTTGTAATGGAATTTTCAGCTTTGTGAAACCAAATTTTTGTCTCATCAAGACTGGTTGGATTTCCTTTATACTCTGTACTTCAAGAGATTGTAGTTTGTTAGGGGATGGGTAGTGAATGACACCTTTTTGCTGTTGTTGTTGAAATAAAAAAATATACCTTTCAAGTTGTTGGGGGTTTTTATTGAATATGAGTGAGTGACTTGTCAGGTGAATGGGAAAATTTAGCTGATAGGTCATTTGGATGGTTTCAAGATGAAAGTTTTTTAAATGTAAACAAAGAGAATGGTTCTGGAGCCCCAGAGGGCTAGAGAAGAGAGTGGGGACTTTGGAGCAAGGCAGACCTAGTCTAGAAGCTAGACTCTCACCACCAGTTGAAAAATAGCAACAATCAAATGCTCTGCTTCCACAGCAGTAAAATAAATCTAATAATACCTTAGAGTCCCAGAGTGGTGCAAATGGTTAACTCTCTAGAATTCTAACCAAAAGGTTGGAGGTTTGAGCCCACCCCGAGGTGTCTCTGAAGAGTCAACTTCCAAAACCCAGCCATGGAAAACCCTACAGAACAGTTTTACTCTGACTCACACGGAGCTCATCCTGAGTCAAGGTTGACCCATAGCAGCCAGTGTAATATCTTCCCTGTTCTGAATATTGCATAAGACTCAGGAGAGATAACGTGTAAAATAGCTAGCGTGTTCCTTTGCCTCCCGGCTCCATTTTCTCTGGGCAGCACTGAGATCAGCCACATTATATTTCTACAAATGCAAATAAAGTTTGCTTGTTTGGATGCGAGATGTGTTATTATGGAAAGGATGTGGATAACATCCTAGATTATACCACGGCCCTGCCATTTCCCCTGGTAGCTGTTTTCTTGCTTCAGTACTTTGTTAACAATCCGTTTTAACAGTCCTGTGAACACATCTGTTCGTGCAAACCTGTAAAGCCATCTCTAGTTGAGGGCATTTGACCTCTCAAAAAGAATTCCCTTTAGCTGAATATGTTGGAAGTCGCACAGGATTTTCCATCCTTTTTCTAGCAGGTCTAGATGGCACTCAAGTCTGTAAAACATTGGGTCATTATCGCCATCAGGGAGGACTGATGGCCAGCAAGTTCCCAGCTGTACTCCAGGCTGGTTGTTCAGGATTCACCTCTGTTTTGTCTGAACTTGACTGTCTGGTACCAGTGCGTATATATTTTGAATGTTGTTCCTGTTTATAGGACAAAGTCCAGAGTCTAAGAAGCAAGAAAATAAACATTAATTAGCCTCTTTCTATGTCCCTGAACTAAGGGCTTTCATAGGTATTACTTAGTCTTCAGAACAGCCTTAACCAAACCCAAATTCATTGGAATTGAATTGATTCTTCCTCATATCAATCTTATAGGACAGAGTAGAGCTGCCCAGAGAGTTAGGTCTGCAAACCTATACAAGAGCAGACTCCGACACTATTCTCCCATGGAGTGGTGGCTGATGGATTCAAACCACCA